CAAAACGTCCATAATTTGCTTTTCACTAACTGAACTCATGTACCTGTTTCCTCATATCCTTAGCATGATAGATACCATAAAGCTGGTAAAGTTTTGTCAGTCTGTCAATTTGTGGGGTGAAAAATGTTAATCCTAAAATGTTTGATTTGAATTTTCATGACTACTAGAGGACCAACATCTTTAAGTATTTATCAGCTATTTATAGTTTATTTATCTGTACATTGCTTTCACATCTTTAGCCCATTTTTCTATGGGTTCTGTATTTTTCTTATTGCTATGTTGGAGCTCTTTATATATTCTAGATGTTCATGCTTTGTCTAGTATATTGCAATTATTTTCTCTAGTCTGTTGCTTATTTCAATTTTTCCATATATTTTGTCATATTAAAATTTAAGATACTTATGTAATCAAATCTGTTCATTTTTTCATTTATGGTTTCTGGGTTTTATATCCAGACTTTCTGTAGCTCAAGATTAAAAATAAAAATCCCTGCCTCATACTGTACACAAATTAAAGAGCTAACATAAAAAATAATGCTATAACTACATTAGAAGAAAATATAATTGACTTGTTAGGCATCTTTGGATTTATCTGTTTTACTGGAATATCTGTTTTAAATAGCCAAAAATCTGACTTATGTGCTGTCAATATTAGTCACAGAACATGAGAATCCTAACATGCTTTTCTGACCTCTAGCCATGATGATTTTAGTTTGAAACCTTCAATTATAAACTGATTTAAAAGCCATTTGCGTATGTCACCTCCATTGATGAACCTTCCTTAATCTAATCTCAAGCTTCGCCTTTCTCCCCTTAAGGTGGAATTCATCTGTTCCTTCTCTAAACTCCCTGAATAAAACATGCCTCTTATGCAGTAATTATAGTGCACCATTCTATTATAGTAAATTTCCAATGCATCTCACCTCACTGATTAGATTATAAACTTCTTAAGGTGGGGGCCATGTCTTAGCTATTCTTGTATTCTGTATTGCCAAGGTAATTATTTTGTTTTATATAAAAGTGAATGAACGAAGTAACATATTTGTTTTATTTCAGCTTCTTTGTCCAAAATGCGGTGCCAAGTTGGGTTCCTTCAACTGGTATGGTGAACACTGCTCCTGTGGTAGATGGATAACACCTGCTTTTCAAATACATAAGAATAGAGTGGATGAAATGAAAGTGCTGCCAGTTTTGGGGTCACAAACAAGAACAATATGAATTTGTGTCATTTGATAGCCTGGAAGGAAACTTGCTGATAGCTGATATGTGCTACCCTTGCTTGTTCATTCATGGCAGTTTTTAGGCCATCAACATTTCATATGAAAAGTGAGAAGATAAAATCACCTGACGTAACATGGAAATTGCTTTCTTAGGTTATTACATGATATAAGTAGAATACTTTATGTGGCAAACAAAGCCTTTTAATCATGTAAATTTTATTGCATATTAAAATCTTTTATAACCCTGATATGT